TTACCTTTTTTTCAGCTCTCTGACTTGGACAGATTTCAGAGAGAAATGAAAGGGCTATAGTGTGCTGCAGGAGTCCAGGGCACCTGCACTGATTTCCTCAGCAAATTCTGCTTATGTTTCTAAACAATGGAAAATTTCCCAAACACTAAGAGACGACAAAACCCATGCTAGCCACCAGAAAACAGCCAGAATTCAACAATGCTCCAGCTAGCAATCTCATTCTGCTCCTCAAGCGATCCTCCGCACAAACCCAAAGGAGCCCATTTACATCATCACCAATGAATTTCTTTACCAGTAGAAAACTTGTACAAGTGCCACGCTTGTGAGTGCCATTATGATTTCTAACAGCTTCCTGCTGACATTGAACAGACTTTCCAAGCTTCTCTGCATACATTTTGTACTTGATTACCCCACACTTGCTGGAAGAAAAGGAACAAAATGCACTCAAGAGCCATTTGCTTATTCCCGATTTGGGTACAACAATGTCGGATGCAACAACATCATTTTTACCTCCCGGCAACCTCATTCAAAGGAATGAGCACCTCTGTCCTGGCTTCGCTGGGATAATTTTCTTTCTAGTAGCTGGTATAGTGTTGTTTTGGATTCCATATGAGAAGAATGTTGATAACACACTGATGTTTTCAGTTGTTGCTAAGTAGTGTTTATACCAAGTCAAGGATTTTTCAGCTTCTCAGGCCCAGCCAGCAAGAAGGCTGGAGGGGCACAAGAAGTTGGGAGGGGACACAGCCAGGGCAGCTGACCCAAACTGGCCCAAGGGATATTCCATATCATGCAACGTCATGCCTAGAATATAAACTGGGGGCAGTTGGCCTGGGGAGGGGATCACCACTCAGGAACTAACTGGGCATCGGTCAGCAAGTGGTGAGCAATTGCATTGTGCATCACTTGCTTTGTATATTCCAATTCTTTTATTATTATTATTGTCATTTTGTTATTATCATTATTAGTTTCCTCCTTTCTGTCCTATTACACTGTCTTTATCCCAACCCATGAATTTTACTTTTTTTCCTGATTCTCTCCCCCATCCCACTGGGTCGGGGGGAAGCGAGTGAATGGCTGCATGGTACCTAGTTGCTGGCTGGGGTTAAACCACAAAAAACTCATACCCAGCCCTTTGGTTCTGTAACCCTGATGAGGACCCATCTCCACAAGCCATAATGCATTAAGCAACAATGCAGTATTCAAAACTAAGTCCAGAGCTTGCAGCAGAACTTAGATCACCCAAAGCTCCTGCTGGAAATTTTCCATAGTGTAACAGTTTATTTTGTGGGCACAAAGAGATCAAGAAAATTAAGTCAGAGTAAGAAGAAAAAAAGTCCCCCTAAAGTGAGTAACTGCACTAAAGCAGCACTTGTGAACAGGCCAAGTACATTTTAAGGGCTGTACATTTTCACTTCCACCGTCTTGGAAAAGAAAATGGAGTGACTTTGTTCTGTATGTATATTGTCCACCATTTGTTATTGTCTGTCTGTTGATGCTTACTTGAAAAACAAAATTTAATTAAACCCCACAGTACTGCATAGCCTGCCTTTGAAATATGCCCGCATTAGTGGATCATTACAGTAAATGAAATACAGCTTCATACCGTATTTTTCAAATAACGTCCCAAAACATTTACAAATTAAATAATACTCTTGCAGAGAGAAATTAAGAGACACAGTGTTTAGCAAGGGCAAAGAGATGCTTACAGATGAAGTCTGAAATGAGACATGGAGCCAGTGAGGCAGAGACATGCCAGAGGGCTCTTCTAGACCTTGTCGAGGCGGTTCTCTGTCTACCGGAAACTAGACAAAGAAAGAGTGTGCCGGTGCCAGGCAAGCAGAAAGGGCGGCATCCCCAAACTCCCAAGGAGGTTTCAGCATGAGCTCATTCAGGGTCTGGGGTGTGCTGGCATGGTCTGCCAAGCCAGAGAAGTGCCTGCACTCCTCTGCATGCAGGAGAGCTCAATGCACCTACACACCCTTTGCATCCTTTGGAAACTCAGCCAGAGCTGTACTGGTCATAGGGAAGTAAACCTTTGCAACTGACTCAGAGCAGTGAAAATCTGGACTCTGAATGGGCTGAAAAAAGGGATGCAGAAAGGTGCTCTGGGACAGGATGAGAAATACACTGCTAACATTTACAGGGAGGAGAAAAATAAAGGGAGCTTTGGTTTCTCGGGCTAAGTAAAAGCACAAGCAGGTTAGTGAGTCAGCGTTGGTCATAGCAGCAATGCCTGATGTGGAACAAAGCAAAGCAGCACATTAAAAAGCAAGTGAGTATTACATGAACCTTACAGCTCGGGCTTGGGCTTGAAGAGACCCAAGATTTGTCTCTTCCTTAATAGCATCTGGGGCGATAACAAGTATTCTTTGACAAATTATGTACTCTGAGAAATCATTTTCCCTAAACAAGTGTAGTTCATTACCGCACCCTTCTTCACATGAGCCTGGATAAGGCTGTGCCCTGCAGCTTCTACAGCCCCATCTCCATGGCGATGCACCAATGGAGGTACTGACTCTGGCAAGAAGGCAAACCTCCCCAAAGAAAAGGCTGAAGATGACAGAGCTCTCACCGTTGTGAGCCCCAGGGAAAGGTGGGCTGTATGCGCTGAACGCACGCAGCACTGGCAGGCAGGGCTTTTGTGAGAAGCAGAGCATGCCAGCCTATGGGCAGGCTGGAAATGAAGAAGAAAACCTTGCAAGGGCACCCCTGGATCCATTTTACAGGAAGACAGTAACTAAGATCCACAGCTGCTGCCCATGTCGGGGATCAGCAAGCAGCAGCCGAATTCCCGTAGGTCCTGCTGAGTTCTCATCAGCATGCTGAATCTATTATTTAAAGGGAAAACGTTCAGCCTGGCACATAATCATTAAAAGCTGTCAACTTCCAGCCTATGCAGGGCTTCCTCTGCAGAAAGGATCCTTCCCTGTGAATCAGGGACTCCTCACCAACTTCACGTCACAAAATTAAAATGAACAGCTGCGGCAGGGGGGTGATCCATTATGCATCGCCTTATCAGTCCTACAACAACAATGAGCACTGGGACCCCAAGACACTACATAGCAAGGTTAGGCAAAAACCGACAGAATATAGAAAATGTAGCCCAGGAGCCTTCCTAAAGGAAAAATACGGTGGTAGGGGGGCATTGGGAGTGACGTAACAGAGCTGGTACACAGAGCATCCTTTCTGAACTGGGGAAGGAGACTCCGACAAGGCCATGGGGGTCCCAAACTGTCGAAAGCAAAGCAAGTGCAGCACTCGTGCACCAGCAAGGTGGCTGGCTCCCATATGCTGACATACCCTCCTCGCCTCCCACACCAAAGCCTCCATCGGTATCAACAACTTGTGTCCGCTTGCCCATACACCCCCACACCCGCTCTCCCATCAGCAGACAGAGTGAACGCTGCCCGGCAGCACTCAGGCAGATTCAGGTTGGCTTTGCGATTTCCAGGCTGTGGCAAAGCCTCCCTGACACTTAAAAGCAGCACAACCGGCTTGCATAGAAGATGAAGATTGCTGAGCCTCCTGCAGCCTTCCTGAGGTGAGAGCAATCTGTGAACGCTGTAATCATCAGGCAGCAGGAGTGTGCCGAAACCGGGGTGGCTAGACTGCAGCGTGAGAATAAAAATGATGGGGGCTTCACATTCACAGGTATTTCAAGAAACATGCTCATCTACAGCTCTCCAGCACTCTTCTCCACCTCTGAACATACCGAGAATGAGGTTTGAACATTTAAACAGACCAGACAGCTACTCCCAGTCTGCTGGAGGAAATAAAGGGAATGGGATGTCCGACAGGGAGGAGGGGGCGCAGGCCAGACATCTCTGAAAGTGCCTTGCTTCTGCAGTTCAAGGTTAAACATCTCCTTTGCACTAATTTCCAAGTCTGCCTCTCTCAAAAGCCGCGCCAGGTAATTAGAATCATTATAACTATTATTAGACCATAATATTATTATAGCATTTTTGCTACACTTGACATCTGTTGGCTGATAGACTTAACTGGTACATAAGAAATAATTGTGCATAGATTTCTTGCAAATGAGCACCAACACGGAAGACATTAAAGCGTTCTGCGTTGAAAAAGTTAATTTTATGGAAGCATGCTTGAAATAAAAATTCTAAAATTAACAGCTAAACCTTTAAAAACTCTCATTAAAGAAACTATTTGGGTTTAAAGTAGGCAGCCATTGAAAAAAATACTGACTTTTCTTTAGATGCTTAAAGGCATATACCTGGCTCGGTATATCCTTCAGATCAACATATGCATCTTCTTCCCACCTATTTCAGTGACCCAGAGGCTTCTAAATCATCCTTCCACCTTCCCTTCCCTCTCTCTGAAGCAGGCTTTTCAATTATTTGGGCAAAGAGTCTCACTGCACAGAGAACAAGTATAATCAGGACTCTTACAACCTGCTCACTGAAAATCTTATAGAATTATCAGCAAACACACATGTAGAATAAAATACAGCTTCTTGCATCCCACGAAGCCCAAAGGGCTTTGCAAACTGGACTTAGGATGCAATTTATCCACCACCGAGATTCAGCCATAATCCAGAGTGGAACACAATATTTCTACCAGTATTTAACTACAGCATGCAGTCCCCTGGAGAGAAGAAAGGAAGAATCCAACAGAAACCACAGGAATGTTTTAGGGAGGCTGATTTTCTCCCCTGAAACTGAAATTTGGTCAGGGCACCCACCATCAGCTGTGGACCAATAAAGGAGAACACACAGGGCATGGCTTCTCCATCCCGTTGATGATGAAGCAGAGCCTGAGCGAACAGCTGTGGCCAGGTACCTCAAGTTACCAGCCTTGAGAGGTAGAAGAGATGAAAACCACAGAGGAACCCTGTATTGTCCTTGAATTCAGTGGGGCCCAAATTTCACCCCACAGTTACACCGATGCAAAGAAAGATGGTATAGTGGGTGGAAGTGCACTTCAGAAATAGGCCAACCTCTTAAAATTCAAAAAGCTGAGCACAGCAGCTCAGTACTTACAGAACTCAGGGTGGTTAGAGGTGGTTCTCTTTGGACAGTGACGTTTTCGCCAGTTAAATGTATTTCAGTTAAAGTAACTCCTCTTCATTAAGCTGAGTTGCGCTGAGAAGGTGACCAGCAGAACCCTGGTAGAATGAGGTGTCCTGCAACCGCTCCCACAGCAACACACTATTCAGGGATAAAAATGAGTGTAATTAAATTTTCCAGAGCACGTAATTTTTTTTTCCAGAGCAGAGCAATCACACAAGAAACTTCAAATTGCTTGAGGAGAAAAATGTATTTTTACTGCCTTAGTCACATACAGACAAGCCTAACTCTCACTGAGGACTGGCCTACAGAAAAACAAAGGGGAGCAGGACACTACGGATGCAAATTGCCCCCATGCATACCCCTCTGCTACCAAAGCAGAGAAAGCTGGGGAGCTCTCGGTGCAAAGCAGGGCTGAGCGACCAGAGGATTGCCTCTGAGCAATCCCAGCGAATACCAGCGAGAAGCCCCAGTTAAGTGAGATTCATGAAAGCTCTTGAAAATTATCCACGTCTTCAGAAATGGGGCACAAGTCCCCCTCTACAGAGATCTGCCCACCACACCTCTGATCAGCACAACAGCATTAAAGCGGGCTTTTCACTCTATCAATCCACCACTTTCAGGCAAACCAGGGGAACTCGGACTAAGCAAGTTCACCTTAACGAGGCACAGTGCTCATTACTAACTAAGAAAAAAAAAAAAACAACAAAGCAACTCACACACACACACACTTTGGGGGTAGCCATCAACAATTCCCTGTCACAGAGGGAGAAAACCTCACGTATGGGCCCTCAGAGCTCAGTCCAGGTCTGCTTCTATTCATCTTTTTCATTAATGGCCTGAACAATGGAAGAGAAAGTACTTTTATAAAACCTGAAAGGATGCCCAGCAGTTAAGAGCTAGAAGCACTCCAAAGGTCATGATCAGAATTGATAAACTGAAGAAAAGTTCCAAAAACACCCAGGAATCCATAAAAAGAAAAGCAAGGAAAACAATGCAAAGAACTGCACTTGGAAACAGCAAAAACAAAGATCAAGCACACCAATACAACACGGGGGAAATCCCTCTGGACAGAGATAACGCTGAGGAAAATCGGGGACTGGACTAAAAATACGACATGTGTCAGTGTTGTGACACCACAGCGCCAGCTGCAAAGCTAAACATCATTCTGTGATTTAAGAGCATAAAATTCCTAATTTCGGGCTGGAAGGCCATGCTCAGTGCTGGGTATCGCACCTAAGAAAGTTGCAGACAAACCAGAGGGTCTGGACAACAAGCAGAGCAGTCAGTGGTGTAAAACGCAGCCGCATAGCAGCTGTTGAAGGGTTTCTCCATCCCTGCTCCCATCCAGGGTCCTTATCAGCTCTCAGCATTTAACAGCTGTTTACAAGGACAACCATCCATTGTGGTCCCCATTCTATGAAGGCAAGAGACAAAGTGGCCTGCCTAATTTGCTGCAAGGGCAAGTTAGATGAGGTATCAGGCCCTCCGAGACTGTGATTTCATCAAGTCCCAGAGGGAACTTGCTCCCATCCAGATCTGCACTAACATCCACCGCTGTCCAGTCTGGAGCCGAGTATCTCTCACCTGGCCTCAGGACAGGGGCACTGACAAGGAGGCTTTTCCAGCCCAGCATTTCATTTTAGCATCCTCCACCTAGCCAGTCCTATACCACTACAGCAGTGATATCTTACAGCTAAATTAACAGTCTTCTCTTCCCCAAAATACAATAGGGCTCCTCATCCTGCTGAAAGGGCACCCACACAGTAATGCAGAAGAAGCATAGCTGTAACTGTTTCAATCCACGTCTTCATTACCTTTCATAAACGAAGCTCTTCAGCTCAATTTGCCACCATGCTACTTTGGTGGTGAAGACGGCCTTCCCACACGCCATAGGGTGAGGGATGCTGACCTGGGCTGCCCATGGGGAAGGGCAAGGCTTCCCTCCTCCCCTCTTACCCCCAAACAGCCCCACTGACCAGTGCAATGGGCTGTAGCCACCACCCAATCGAGCAGGCAAGCCCTCCCTACCCCAGACAGAATAATTTGAGGCAGTAATTGCTGAAAGCAATTGAAATCACTGAAACAAGGTGCTTCAAATTGGGCGACAGCAGCTGTGCCTGCGCAGCTGATGCCATACACACACAGCTGCACCAAACCCCGACCGCAGGCTCTGCAAGAAATATGGCAAGGGGGCAAGACCTACAAATCTTATGCAAAAGCAGGGCTTAACTTCCAGGAACATTTAAGATTTCCCAGTGACTCAAGAGGATTTGGGGGTTTGTTTTTTTCTTTGACTCACAGCTTTAGAAGCAAGCTGCCTCATGAATCGCAGCCAGAAGTGATTTGACAAAGTCTTTGTTAGCACACGCGGTCTCCTTTCACGGGGCTATTTCCCAGAAGATCCCCAGTGTTGTGTCATTTTTCACTTCAGATGCTAAGAATATCTGTGTGTTAATAAAAAATAGTAACTAGCTTTATAGGGAACTTATCAACAAAGGGCTCAACAAATCTTCATTAAAGCTGATTCACCTACTTCACGAGTGCAAGTTGAACATTATTCCTCAGAGGGGAAAGCTGAGTGGTAAGAGAGCTGAGGTGGGTTATAAAAGCCACAGAGGGAGCCAGTTGCAGAGAGGATTAGCACATAGAAAGGCTAACTATTATACCTAAATTTATCCCAATAATCCACTGCCTTGCAAATTCTCAGGGTATAGCTGACATGCTTTCAACCACACCTGCCCAGCTTGACCACATCTGTATTTAAGCAGTCTTCCATTTCCTTGCCAAGACCAGACAGAGAGATGGTTTGGGAGTGCTGGAGAGTTTTTCAGGTGTTTTATTGCTCAGGCTAAAGAAATTCTCAACTGTAAAAAAGGAGAAAGTGGCAGTGGTAGCACCAGCACTGGTCTTGTGTTGCTTTAGGGTGCAGCATTGTGGATTCAAGGGCTGTTCTGACAACGCATTAGGAATTGCCAGTTTCCAGCTTATTTCTTTAAAAGGAACATATTTGTATCCCTTCAAATTCAGTAAATACATGGTCACAGATGGCAGACCCTGGGAACTTGCAGACACTGCTCTCACCTCTGTTAGCTGCACTTCCACATTAAAGTTTCTGTGGCAAGATTGCAGATGCTTCCACTATAGAAATGCCTTGGAGGCTGCTAAAAAATACCAACATGGTCCAGGCTGGTCATTTTCAGGCAGGGTTGGGGGAAAGAAAAGAGAGGAGAAAAAAGTAGTCCATCCCTTAACAATTCTACTCCCAGAGCGCAAATGAATTCAAAAGGATCGCACAGAGCAAAAACACTGCAGTAGCATGTTCAGTAAATGACAGGGTGTGTCATCGGCTTCCAACACCGTAGAGACTTATCTGCACTTAAAAGGTTTCCTACCACGGCTGTATGCCGGAGCAGCCTCCTCGCGCAGACAGCTCTACCAACAGAAGTGCCTGTGCAGATTATACTCCTTTGGCAAGCAAATTAAACAGTATCAGTGAAGTCATACTTTCTGCCTCTAAGCCATATTTGTACTAGGTTAGTTCTATCAGCAAAACACTGTAAAATAAATAACTTGCCCCTAAGAAATTGCGTCTACAGAACTTGTTAGTGTAAACCCAGGCCATCTTGAGAGGCGGGTAGTGTTGATTATTTGTCAAAGATTACTTCTAATGCGAGTGTTAGTCAACCACTGAAGTTAAACATTTTAAGGCAATATTCCAAATAGTGTTTATATACAAAATCCCATTTGCTCAGTTTTCACTGCCTGGCTTTGTGCAACATGTAATTTCACTAGCTCTCCAGCAAGAGCCATACGCAAGCTTGTACCAAAATAATTAAACAGTTTTAAAATTCAGGCCTCATATTACCGAGTGCATACCCTGAAGCAAAATCCATTTTAATGGCCCAAAGCTACACCGGCAGTACCAGGACACTTTTATTCCACAACTGCCCAGGTGCAAAGGGGCCCTGAGGTCACCCAGCCTGTCCTCATGTTCAAAGCAGAGCCCAAACTGCTCCCGTTTCGCTGAATTTGTAATTAAAGCCCTTCAGCGTAAGGGATCCTTGCCAGCCCAGGCCTCCTGCCCTGCACTTTGCGGGCAGGTGCCCGCCACAGGGCCCTGATTTTCGGTCACTTCTAGAACACGACAGCCCAGGCAGCTGCCCTCACTCCCCAGCCCTGCCCAAGGCCGGCCGAACCTCCCCGGGTTTAGGACAAACGCCGTTACTGCACCCCAGAGGCAGCTCTCCGGGCCCTGCGCCCTCACAGCCTGGGCGGCGGACGCGGGGAGAGGGGGTGTCCCTCGGCGGGAAACCAGGGCGGCGGGCAACCCCCCGCCCCGGCAAGGCCTCGCCACCGGCTCCCCTCGAACGAAGGCACCGGCAGGACACGCTCCGGCGCGGAAGGCGGCGGCGCAGGACCCGCAGGGCCCGTGTACGACCCGGTGCCCCAGCACCCAGCAGCGGCCCGGGCCGGGGGGTGCC